CTTCCTTCTGTGGAGTGGCTGGTGGGTTTGAATAACCAGCCTTCTGGTGAGCAGTCAAGTGCCTTAGGCACTATGCTACCAGAGCTCCTTCGAAAGCATTAGGGGACGATTATCCATTAGTGATTAAATGAACAAATGTGGTTATAAATTTCTGTATATTTTTTTCCCCTTAATTAACAGTAAAGGAGTGTTTTCATAAAGTTAACTCTCCCAAGACAAAGAAGAACAAAAAGAGGAAGCTTCAGGCCAGACCCAGGCCACAGACGTGATTTGTTATGTTGCCGCTGTACTGTCCAAAGAGACCTTTTACATTCTGAATGGACTGCCAATGTTTCAAACTTTTACATAAATATCATATCTACAGCTTCTCTTAAAAAATGTGCATGGTTTGACCACACTGAGCTCATATATACTTATGAGACAGCAGTCAGCATGGGCTGAGTAACAACTGTCCCCTTCAGACAGGGTATGAGCTCTTCAGTCTGCCTCAATCCACATCACGCCCTGTTGTCTCACTGACTTTAACTCCAGTGTCTGCTGTCATTTTTGTAACGTTAGTGCTGTTGTTTTTCTTACCGTAGTTAAGAGGGTGTGAAATATGTTTTATATCCCTATTGTAAGGGGAGGGGAGAAAGAAACCATCTTTCAGGAAGACGAGAAAGATTGCATTTTTTGTGAGAATGAAGAATGCTCTTATATGTTTAAAATGCAAACTAAGTGTTCTGTTTTAAAACCACCTATCCTAAGTGCTCAGCTGCTAACTGAAAGGACAGCAGTTCAAACCTACCAGCCACTCTATGAGAACTAAGAGTTAGAGCTTGCACTTCCTGGTCACTGGTAATCCCTGAGGTCAAGGTTATAGCAAGGGGACAGAGGAAGCCTTGACCCCATCAAAAAGACACTTCAAGTCACTGCTGAAATCATGTAATGGCAGGACTGGGGCCATTTCTTTTCATGTCATGCACCTCAGTTACAGGGGGCAGCTTGCAAAACGTAACCTTGAACTTCAAAGATTAAAAAGCTGGGCTCAATTTCAGCACAGGGCAGGGCGTGACTAACAGGAAGACCACCAGCCTCCTCTGCCATGCATCATGAATGAAGACATCAGGGAGAGGTGTTAAGAACGTGCCTTAGTCCTCCTTTATAGTGGAAATCTCATTACTTGGAGAAAGAGGAAGAGACTTTGGAGGTGCTGAAGAGAGGGGTTCAGTAAGACTTGGGGGCTCTGGACCCACAGCGTTTAAGGTTTACATCCACTCACACACCCATCATCAGATTGTCAGTACAGTCTGTGACCTGAAAAGACCAAAACCACTGCCCTGTGAGACCATCCCAGCTCTGTTTTCTGAAGTTCAGTTTCCCAAATGCCTCCGGTGGTGTAATGGTTAAACCATTTGCCTGCTAACCAGAAGGTCTGTGGTTCAACTCCACCAGCTGCTCCACAGAAGATGGAACGGTCTGCTTCCATAAAAATGTACAGCCTTGGAAATCCAATGGGGGTCGCTAAGAGTTGGAATCGACTCAGTGCCAGTGAGTTTTTTTTCAAAAATAGAACCCATAGGAAGCCAAGACCCAAGCACTCGGTTATGTTTGAGTCCCAGCTCCGGAGCTAAGAAAACAGCCCTGTTACCTCCAGCTAGAACCTCTGCAGCCTCAGGGTTCAGAGGTGCTTCCAAGGCTGAGGAAATTCACTGGAAAACAGTGTCCTCCCCATCCTGAAAGACTGCCTCGTATACTTGGCTTCTCCACGATCTGCTCAAAACCCCTTTCCTAGAGCTCCTCCAGGAGGCTCCCTTTCTCCCTGTTGTAGCCACCCCCTTGTGGTATTTCTGTGATAGCAGCACTGTTGTGTTGTTGTTATGTGCCGTGGAGGTCCCTCTCTCTCTGCTCGCTTCTCTCTCCTTTTATCTCTTGCAAGATAAAAGGTGATGCATTCTGCACTCTTTCACGCATCTGCAGGGAGCTCAACATTGTTAACTACCCAAAGAAAGACCTGGCCACTACCTGTCTTCCTGGATCAGGATCAAACAGATGGAGCAAGTGGATGAGCGGCTGGTCACCATCCCCATTGTCCCCCAGGGACTGAGAAAAAGGCAATAGGACTTCAGTGAAGCAGAGCTGATGCAGGCTAGACATGAGAAAGAACTTCCAGACTCAGAAGACTGTTAGCTCTCTGAGGGAATGGTGTGGCCTGTCCCTTTGGCCCAGAAGGAATTCCCATCTTCCTTGATGTTTTCATTATTCGGAATTCAAGGAAATCAGCCATAGAGGTGCCTTGTCTTCAGTCAGTCTCAGAGGGCTGAGACTTTCCCCTTGACCTAGTGGCCATTTCTCTCACCAATCATCTGCATCAGGTGTCCATGGGGCCAGTGAGTCTCAAGTCCCTACTCACTAGAGCTCAGTGTATGGATAATTTTGTGACACTCGTCTTTAACATCATCTTGCAAATTGTATCCGACCCAGGCTGGTAGATGGACTGAATTGGTTCTCCTGTTGGCAGACATTCACCCCATCCCCACCGTGTGCATAACACTGAGGTAGGAGCAAGAGGAGCAAAAGTGGCCCTTCCCACTGTCAAAGCTCACACAGAGGGTGGGAAAGACCAGCACAGGAAAAGTACAATTAGTGCTAAAATAGAGAGGGACACAGAACACTGCGGGAACATAAGTGTCTCAGCAGGAATCAGGAAAGATTTAGAAGAGGTGGCATTTGACCTGGTTTTAAAGAACAAGAAGGAGTTTGCCTAGAAGACAGTGTGGGAACGGTGGTATAGAGGAAGGAATAGCAGCAGCTGACATACTGCGTTTTTTCCTGCCGAGGATCATTATTAGATCTTTTAGATTGTCCTTAGGGCCTGTTGTAGTTCTCTAGTGCTGCTATCAGGAGCTCTGGTAGCATAGTGGCTAAGATACTTGACTGCTAACCAGAAGTCTGGTGGTTCAAACCCACCAGCCACTCCTCAGAAGAAAGGTTGGGCAATCTACTTCCGTAGTGATACTGCCTCGGAAACCCAAGGAGGGGTCTCTATGAGTCGGGTCACGGCACATAACAACAACACAACAGGGCTGCTATCACAGAAATACTACAAGGGGGTGGCTTTAACAAACAGAAATTTATTCTCTCACCATTTTGGAGGCTAGAGTTTGAATTCAGAGTGCCAGCTCTAGGAGAAGGCTTTCTTTGTCAGCTCTGAGGGAAGGGCCTTATCTCCTTTCATCGGTGCTCCTTGGAAATCTCCATGTGTCTTGGCATCAGTCTTCCCCTGGGTCTAGGAGGTTCTCTGCACGGGGACCCCAGGCCCTGCTCCCAGTCCTTCTTTCTTGGTGGTAGCCAGGTCCCTCTCACTCTGCTCGCTTCTCTCTCCTTTGATCTCTTGTAAGATAAAAGGTGATGTAGGTCACACCCCAGCTTCCCCTTACATTGGATCAGGGCTGTGACCTGAGTAACAGTGTTTTTTATACTCCATCTTAATCCCCTTTTGACTGATTGGCTGATCACATCAGATCACATCATAAGGGCTGATGACATCATTACATCACAGGCAAATCACATCATTTCCTAACTGTCAGACCACTGAGAATCATGGCCTAGCCGAGTTGGCACCTATTTTTAGGGGACACCATTCAATCAGTGGCAGTGCTGATGTCACCTAGGTACAGACCGAGTTTTGATACCATTCAAAGGCCCTGTAGGGCTTGGTGGTTCAGAGGCAGAACGCTCACCATCCACACTGGAGACCTGGTTCGGTTTACAGCCCACGTACCTCACGCACAGACACCACCCATCTGTCAGTGGAGGCTTCTGGGTTGCTCTGATGCTGAACAGGTTTCAGTGGAACTTCCAGGCTCAGAGGACTAGGAAGAAAGGCCTGGTGATCTTCTGAAAATCAGCCAGTGAAAACCCTATGGGTCACGCCGTGCCACCCACAGCCAGTCATGGGTGTGGTGCAGGACTGGGCAGCATGGGGTCGCCATGAGTCAGGGGCCACCATCATGGCCGCTAACGATGACAGCAAAGGCCCTTCACATAAGAATCACAGCCGTTGAGAGTACTGCCCTAGATGAATGGCATGAGGGAATGCTGTCTGTCCAGGCTCCCTGCAAAACCATGGCGTTCGCCACCTGCCCTTCTCAGTGGCCCTTCCTCATTAAGCATCTGTTTTCTGCATGATTAGCTTTCTGGTGTGATGCATCATAAGGGGAAGGGGCAGAAACACTCTCTGCTTGGGGCAGAACATCTATTTTCAAAAGTACTAATGAAACATCCATCCACCCCTTTGTGAGTATAGGTGGGAAGGGTCTGAGGCCTGGGTACTTCCATTTGGGATCTCCTGCTGCCTCTCTCTGCAGCTCTCCCTAATGAAGGTAATCAGATAGGTGACTGCTATACGGAACCCCTCCAGACCTCCGCCTTCTCATTGGAAGCCTGGCACTTCCTCACCCCGGGGACCAGGGGCTTGCTGGCTGCTTCATAATGTCAGGATCTGTTGAGAAGCTTTCTTGTCTTAACTGGTGTCAGCATCACCCCAACGTCTCTGGAAAGATCCGAATTATGAGCAAGTGGAGAGCAGGTGACAGGCTCCTGGGCCATTTCTGCCCCAGTCCTCAGGGGATCAAAGGGGTCAGGGCCCCTCTCTGCCCAAGCCCACATCCCTTGGCCAGCTGGCACTGAGATGGGCAGCTGATGAGTCTAGTCTGAATGAAGGCAAACCTGCCAGGGCTCTGCCCTCAGCAATACCCAGCCCACCAGGGGAGCCCTCTAGGCTAGCCTGACTCACTCCACCTTAACCATGTCAGGATAAAACTGACAGTAACCATGATAGCAGTGCCACCAGGCATTCGGTGACCATTTTCCTCATGGGTGCACTTGCACAAAACATTGGAGCCAAGAGCTGAGCTCTGGGGTCAGACCAGGCTGATGTCTCTCCTGGCTGGAGATAGGCAGTGAATTAGCTTCTATGCTCAGCTTCTGTTTCCTAATAGGGGCTAATAGGCTGGTAGGGTCGGGGGCGGGATGAAATGAAGCCGTGTCTGGCATAGTGACGTCAGCCAGTGCTGTTGTGGTTGGCTGCCATCAAGGCGGCCCCCTGTCACGGCGACCCCATAAACGATGCGGTGAAGTGCTGTGCCATTGCCAGTGTCGGTTGCAGATCAGACTGCTGGGATCCCAGGGTTCTCACTGGCTGGTTTTGGGGATTAGATTGCCAGGCCTTTCTTCCTGGTCTTAGTCTGGACGCTCTGCTAACACCTCCTCAGCATCCTAGCAACCCACAAGCCTCCACTGACAGATGAGTAGCAGCTGTGCATGAGGTGCGTTGCTGGGACTTGAACCCCGGTCTCCCACATGGGAGGTGGGAATTCTGCCATTGGACCACCACTGCCTCTCAACCAGTAATTTAAAAAAAAAAAAAAAAAAAACATTGCCATCTACTCACTTCTAGCTCACGGTGACCCTGTGTGTGTCACAGTCGAACTGTGTCCCACAGGGTTTTTAATGTCTGAGCTGTGGTGGCATAGTGGATTAAGGCATTTGGCTGCTAACCAGAAGGTCAGCACTTCAAACCTACTAGCTGCTCCAAGGAGGAAGATGGGGCGATCTACTTCCATAAGGATTTACAGCATCAGAAACCCAATGGGGCTAACTATGAGTTGGAATTAACTCAATGGCAATGAGTTTATTTGGTTGGTTTTTTTCTTGCAACCTTTTAGAAGTAGATTTTTCAGGTCTTTCTTTCAAGGCACCTCTGAGTGAATTTGAACCGTTAACCTTCCAGTTAGTAGCTAGGAGCTTAACTGTCTACACCATCCAGGAATTCCCAACCTATTATTTAAAAAAAAAAAAAAATTGTTGCTGTCGAGTCAGTTCTGACTCATAGAGACCTTATAGGACAGAGTAGTACTGTCCCATAGGGTTTCCGAGGCTGTAATCTTTACAAGAGCAGACTGCCTCATCTTTCCCTGGCAGAGTGGCTACTAGGTTGCAACTGCTGGCCTTTTGGTTGGCAGCCAACTAACTGCTTACCCACTGTGCCCCCGGGGCTCCTTCAGCCTATAGAAGGTTGTATTAATATTAATATCAACAATAATAGTTAGTACTCATTGAGCAGTGTCAGGCACTGTGCCAGACACTGTAGGCCCCAGGCCACCCTAATGTAGATCTATTACTGTCCCCATTTTAAGATGAGGAAACTGAGACCCAGAGAGGGTTTAGTAGTTGGATGAGGGTCACACAACCCGTAAGTGGTAGGTGGGATTTGAACCCAGGCCATGGAGTCCCAGAGCCTACTTTTAACTTTATGGGGCCTGGCACAGAATAAATATTCAATAAATCTTTATTATGATCATTATTGTTATTCTATTGCTAAGTATTGCCGATTTAAGCACACAGCAACCCTGTGAGACAGCTAAGCAAGTACTCTCCCCATCTTACAGATGAGACCCTTGTGGCCCAGAAAGGGAAGATGACCACTCACTTGGTTCTGACGACAGTGATGTGTCTCTTTCCCTTTATAACTGCATTGTCATCATTGTCAAT